CTCTTTTCCTGAACTTATTAAATGTTTTATGTTTAGCTCGAGAGTGGTGGACCTCTCATTGTAGTAGATGAAAATGGCGTAGACCGTCAAGTCGGTATCGTGAGTTACGGAAACGCGCATTGCCCTAGCAACGCACCTGCAGTGTTCACCAAAGTTAACAGATATACCCACTGGATTCGCTCTGTGGTTGAGATTGTACATGGCCTGAGAATGCCAGGTTATGTAGGTTTGATTGACTCGATTGATCCGATTAAATAATATTTTTACGGAATATGCTTTTCAGGTAACGTAACTGCAGTAATGTTACATACCTAAACGTGTTCGGTGCAATATAATCGGATGCGGTTACTCTAGTAGTCAATCAGTGCACTATCACTGAAAACGGGTACAAAAATAGTACTGAATAATCCAGTGTTATACTTATTACTGTGAATCAGTGAATATTCACTATTTTCAGTGATCCACTGAGAGTACATAGTATAATAATGTATGAATATCTGATTAAATTGTATATTCATTGAAGAATATGACCATTTCTTCGATCAAATTTTATCGGTAACTGCATTTCATCGAATATATCCAAAATTTATTCGGGAAACTTGATAAGAAAATTAAATTTTATAATAATCGTTGGCAACACTATTTAATCGGTTTATTTAATGGAAATTTTTCACAGAGCAATGCGTAATATCGTGTGAACCAAAATTTTAATGAGCCAGTAAAAAGAATTAGTATTAAAATGTATTTAATTCGTGTATATGTAAAACAAACCGTGCTCATTAAAAGAGAATATAAAAATATGCGTGACGGTCCACACAAAATAACCTTGCATTCCCCATGAACGTCGACATCGACTCGATCTGACTCGTCGGGTGTTCCCGCGGAAATAAAAATTAAATTGTCAAGACGTTACAGTAAAACTAAAGCAATCAATAACTGTTGGAACAAAAGAATTGTAAAATACACGAGAACGATGGCAATATCGTTTAAACTAGCGACGCAGGAACCACGCAGTTTAACTAAACTAATTAAAGGAAAGCGGTACTCACTCGAAAACCTGTCGCGGAGCGAAGCGATACTATTGTGCACTCGTATTACAAAATATAAAAGAGCGCATCGGAATAATCTGCTCGTCATACAGACACACTACTTGCATTATAGCCACAATTTCAATGTTGAACATGCAGTCACTTTAGACAAAGGGCCTTTCTATAATATACTTTGATCTCTGAAATGCTCTACATCAATATGCAATCAAATGGTTTCAATTTATAAACGGATACTGCGTTGCTGGAGTCGTATCTCCCTCTTTTAAATAAAATCAAGTCTGTGAACTCTACGTAAACGTTTTATTCACAGTCGCGCAGTATACGATTAATGAGTTCTTATCCGATACCTAATAAAATATTCGGCGTTCTCCTATGTATTGCAATGCGAACACAGATTCTTCGCGTCCATCGTCGGTTTTTAGATTTACTCATCTTAACAAACTGCTATTTCGCAAAATTTTCAAAGATGTTATGCTTACAACGTCGGATTCGAGTGTTCCGTCGATAAAGGAATGTATCGCGTTGACAAAAATTGTCTGATTGGGTATACATTTGATTGTGTTTACGTATGGAGCAACTTTATTTGGGACATGCCTTCCACATTTCATTATACTTTGACCTCATTAAGATCTCATATATTAGCGACAACGCGAGCACTAGCGACAGTTGCAATAAGAATCTCCCGAAAATTACGAAAGAAACATTTGCGGGATCGATAATCAACCTAAGGTGAGCGATATCAATAACATATTTCCAAGAATTTTAAAGTAAAAAATTAATTAATAACCTTTACATATTTTACATCTCACAAAAGCGTTAATAATCTCGTTAGTTGTCATTGTTGCCTGAATATCGCGACTACGTAAAGGATTATTTACAGAGGCGGCGCGCAAAACGTGTATCATGGAAAGTGTGAAGATGTTTTTATGCTTTACAACCAGTTTAATAGTGTGTCAGTACACCCACGGATATTATGAACCATCGTACTCCGGTCCATACCCATCCATCCATATCCCTCCATATCCGTTCCCAATTTTTCATCAACCCCCTTTCCAGCTACCGTGGTTCACCAGAAACGGCACATATTCTTCCAACTATCCCGGCGACGTTGTCTTTCACGCGCTTAATATTGGTGAGCAAGTTCGCGAGCAACGTAAAAATTCAACAAGCGTTAATTAAATTTTCGACTCATACAGTCCAATGATTATTCTATGAGTTTATATTATTTTTGCCTACAGTGCTTCTTTCTGTAATAAAATCAAAATATGGTTGTAACACTGTTAATTTGCAATCAAATGCTTGCAATAACGTAATATTTAGATAATTAACTTGGATAAGATATACAATTTCACACGTATGTAACTTTCGCATACGTGTAGTTCATGACATTTTTTATCGAAGCGATGATCGTCGCTTACTGTTTTCGTCACACTGACATTTGTTTCGAACGATGGACAAAGGCATGACCAGAAAAGCGGGCGAAGCATATGCGAAGCCGGGAATGTTTCCGTACATGGCAGCGGTGCATCATCTTCTGGGAGACGGACAAACCGAGCAATGCAGCGGTACAATCATAAACAAAAGATGGGTTTTCACAGCCGCTCATTGCTTAGTGAAGATGCCATTTTTCGTGGTGTTCGGCATCATCGATCAATCCGGCATTAAATACGGCACTCTTAAGGGCCCCGGCGTGTCAATGATTGCGACTGAAGCACACGTACACCCGCGATACGAATCAGGTCACAATGATATTGCCTTACTCCACATGTCACAGGATATTCCCTTTTCCGGTAAATATGTTTAAATTAATATTCTTCCTTCTTTCGCGCTTAATTATACGTCAGCGATATTTAATTATTCCATGGGTAATACGCAGAGAATTAATAATGATAGGGATAACAAATAGTCTCATAAATATGGAGACTCGAGAATGGAAAATTGTATCTGATAGCTACAGTAGTACAATTCTCCGTGTACTTTGTTACAATGTAAAGTTGGACAGTATAGACAGAAATAGATTTCGTATTAAATTATTTTGTTAGTATATAGCATAGGTGATGAAAGTTTGATGAGTTTTGAACGTTGTAAACTGCTAAAAATATTACTAATGTATATTGTGTCTCAATATCAACTTACTGAAATTCTTGGTTAAATATAGTATTTCTTTATTTCAGACATGGTTAAACCCGTCAAACTCGTTAGTAGCAATAAACCTTTTCTGGGTAAAAACGCTTATGTAATCGGTTGGATAAGCATAATCATAACAGATGACATGCATATCAATAGTAAAAAAAAGCTCAAGTACATCACACTACTGATTATAAGCGTTGAGGAGTGCAAAAAACATTGGGAAATCGACAACGATCACATTTGCACGGAGGCAGGGATGGAATATCCGAGTACTTCCCTGGTAAAATATTAAAGCTATAATTTTAGTCTAACTTATTAGACACCCTCATATCATATATTGTACTAAAAGTAAACCTCCTCGTTTTAGGTCGTTTTAATAACTAGCTAGTTATTTAGGTAGTTTGAATAAATGAAATTCGAAGGCGTCTCTGTTTTCGTAAATTTACTATTTGATATTTTATTTTCAGCTCGAGAGCGGTGGACCTCTCATCATAACAAATAAGCAGGGCATAGACCGTCAAATCGGTATAGTGACTTACGGACAAACGCTTTGTCTTAAAGACGCACCGGTGGTCTATACTAGGATTTCTGTACATATTGAATGGATTCGCAATATTATGTTCTCACTTACAGTGGAAATCATTCTTGAGTAAAGTGTAAACGCATAATTACATAGTTACATGTTAGATATTTATTAATAAATATAACTGCTCGCGAAGTCGCGAGGTGACCATTATCGTGACTGTTTATTGGAGAGAGAACGAAGCCGCGAATCCAACAGCGAAGCCATCACACGCGCGAGCAAGTATCGCGCGGTCCGTTGTACACTCAATAAAATTTGTTGCGCCTATCGTGGAAGACTTGGATTATTAAGGAAGTCGGTCCAGAAATCAGCACAGATCTATGCAGATGAGTGCGAACAGAGATACTGTCTTTTATTGCGATAGAGACGTTATAATTTATTTACGAGCGAGATGTTATGATTGCTGCTACCGTGTTCCTCGTGGCAGAGACGATGTCAGAGAACGATTTCGGTGAAACACGTCCTGCTTATATTTAATTATCGGAGTCGCTTCCTGCTCCTATGTTACGCCAATCGGAGGGCGAAGATTCGGAGAATCATTTTCGTCCGAAAATCTAGACAAGGGAGAACACGCTCGAAAACCTATCGCGGAGCGGAGCGATCGTCGCCAAATTATATTTTTCGCTAACATCCCTTGAAAATAGTCACTGATTTACAGTTATAAATATACCACTGAAAATCGCAGTTTTCAGTGATAATCCACTGATTGATTTTCGGAGAGTAAAGTTTCCAAAATTTAAATTTAGCGAAACAACGGAATGGCGAAAAGGGAATTCGCACACAGGCGGCCAAGTTCCCTCGGCACTGCCCTACAACTACGCCTTCGGGCTTGTAACGATTTGAATTAACTGCTGTCGTCGACAGCGAGCGTGTTGGACGAGCTCGAAAATAATATTTTTGATATTGAAATTTTATTGCGTCGCCGCCGCTGTGGCACCGGAAGTGCCGGGCTACGTCGGATACGCCTCTCGTCGTTTACCACTGTAATTGAATGCGGAACGCGGCGTGAATCTTCCTGGGGGGAAAGGGGGGTACAACGGGAGCGCGAAATGTCTAAATTTATACAGATTGCACGCGTGCAATTGCACACGACTCTATTTTACACCCTTGAACGCACTGCGCGGTGCAAAACAATTGGGAAAACGTCGCACGTTCTTCCGAAATTTCTACCCGGGCCGTTAAACGAGGCCTCTAAATTATGCCGCGGCAATCTGGTTAGAGCAATTAGACGCAAACGGTTTTACAGCTCGCTCTTTCTTTTTCCGCTTAATTTGGGCTGCTCAGGCGTCACGCGTCACTTTTTCGTTAATGGCACTTTGCTGCCGCGTCGCTGAACAAACCATCGATCGTGTCATGAAACAGAAAGTGTCTTAAACTTCTATGGAAAGTAATACGAACGTATATTGTGCATCGATAATTTTTGGAACTTATTAGTAACATATATTTCTTTATTTCAGATTACGTTATGCCCGTACCATTCTTTGCTCATCCATTAGACAAATTTACTGTGGGTAAAGACGCTCGTGTGATCAGTTGGGCAAAAGATCGCATGGCTGACAATGGTACGGAAAGACTCAAGTACGTCACATTGCCGATTATAGACAATAATATGTGTAAACGATACTGGGACATCGACAGTGAGCACGTTTGCACGGTTGCAGGACTGGAACGAGACGCTTGTCAGGTAAAATAATAAAGCTGTCTCTAAAAATAGCGGACAAAGTTATTGCCTCGCCCTGTATATAAGTGTAAGTAGGTCATTTTAATGCAATGCAAATTATCTTGCCTTAGGTTGTCTTAACAAATTCGAAGGCGTCTTTTTTTTCTTAAATTTCGTATTTAACATTATATTTTTAGAGTGACACCGGTGGAGCTCTCGCCGCAGTAGATGTTAATGGCCTGCAACGTCAAATCGGTATTGCAAGTTACGGAGACACACTTTATTCCAGCGATGCACCTGGAGTCTTTACTAAGGTTTCCGCACATATAGAGTGGATTTACGATGTGACACATATACGTACCCTGGGAAACGCGCTAAAATTTTATCCGACAGGTAAACATAATTAAGTAAGTATAATTAAGTAAGTATAATTCGTGTATATTTGTACAAACCCTGTGCCCATTAGAAAACCACAGAAAAATATGTTTATAAAAACATATATGAAATTATTATACATTTAGACACGTAAGTAGACATTTATTATCTCTGCAACTCCGCTATTATATGAATCCGTTGGATCACCTCGTAGCAGCTGGCATTAACCGATCGATTGTCAAATCGAACGCACGCGACAATTAATTGTCCATCTCTGCCGATTTCACGCGCAGCCACCGTCCTGCTCACATGACGCGAGTGATTTTAATTGATGTGACATTGACTCGACGAAATTCGACACATGAACTTCGTTTCGTGCGCTCGCGGCGTTGCATCTAGCAGCCGGGCGCCCGCTCGTTTAACGCATTCGTAAATCAACAGCAATTACCGCTGCTTCACATGCTCGCGATAATAATGCGCGTGCCGAAGGGCTTAAAACACAGGATAAATACATGCTCGACAGCTGCGCTTTCGCAATTCGTTGGCGTAAAAGCACCACTGCTGACTTGTTCCCGGTTCGAGCTACGGACGATTGTCCCGAGGGAGCGAGGGAAAGGGTGGGTTAACAACTATCCAGCGGACTCTCTTTTCGCCACCCCCTTCGGGACCGGGGGGGGGGGGGGAAATAACCGTGTTTCCTCCTTCCATCCGCAGTCATTACCAGCTATCGCGCGGGGAGGGGGGGCGTATGACTTTGGGCTCGTGGACCGTGCATAATAGCCACTCCGTTCCACGCTATTGTGACGTCGTCTTTAAAAGCTCACGGGATAGTCGCCGAAATGCTGAATAAGCGAAGCCGTTTGGCGACCCCTTACGCGTTTCGACTATGTAACGGTGATCCTACTTTCGTGAAGACCCTCTCGCTGTTGCTTCAGAAAATCGCGTTTCCCGATGCAGTTCATTTTTCCGACTACGTTTTCCGATAAATGGCGTATCTTTTTAATTAAATATGCAGTATTATATAACGTTACAAGTAATGTGACAGTTCAGATATTAAACAGACACGATCTTACATCTCGAAGCTGAATGATCAGCTCGAATTGACTTAACAGATCAACCGGAGTCGCCTAGTCAATTCGATAAAACAGACACGGCTCATTTGATCCTTGCCGCCATTTGTGTTCTACTTCCAAAGTTTGCGGGAGTTCTCGGTTTTCCGTAAACGCCAAGTTCCCTACCAGCTGCGTCAGCGGTCTTAATTCGTGATCGTTTGTAGTAATACGAAAATTTTCGGCGAACACATATATTATAATTGTAGTCGCGTAAGCGACCGACGCGTTTCGAAAATCACGAAAGTATCTCGAGATAAAATACAAATTAGAAGCACATCTATTTTCGCTTGATGTTTAATAGATTGCACCTTAAACTTGGAGATTATTTAAACGTATTTCGTACATGTCAGTATTTCGACTTTGGCAACTTGGACAATACGTTTTCCAAGGTTTAAAGCGTTCGGAACGCCGATAGTATCGGATAAATGAAACGGAAGAAAGTATTAAGCGCGAAGAAGAGGTGCACCGTGAGGGTGTCATTTGTATATCGCCGTCGTCTGAATTTCTACGGATTAAACATTTAATTGCGTTTCAGTCGCTTATCCTGCGAAACTTGCGAGCACGGATGCTTCGGGCGGACAGGTGTGCGCGGCTTTAAGTTTCACGACGCTCCCTCGAGGTTTTACGATCAGCGGACCGGACGAAGGCTTGATCCCGGATCCCGGAATACGGTGTTGGCTGGTTCCAGCGTCTATCTGAAGCCGACACTCCACAGATGTTGTTTTCGGCTTGATCCCGTCTCACTCGATAAGTCGATTGCAATGGAAAGGGAAAGTCCACACCCCAACACATGCTACCTCTTTATACACTTATAAAATGTTCAATCTTTCTCTATGCAGGTCTTGTCTTTAAAACAGTATGTTTAAATACATTGTAAAACAGAGGGAGGGAGGGATTGGTTGATCCTTAGCAGCTTCCTCAGCGATTTGCACTGCGGATTAATTTACGTTATTTAAAATATTGCATCTTCGTTGAACTGATATAATTTTTTTTTATTCCTTTAATATTCGTTTCAACAACTCTCAGCTGACAATACGTTTTCACTCTATCGTCTAATATACAATACATTTTTGTGCACTCGTCGTTCTCCGGAATTGTAGCGAGAAAGAAAGAATGAGAGTGTGTGTACGTTATGAAATTTATGTTTAAATTATTTTCAAAAAGTGCGTCAAAGTTTCTTACATCTTTTAATAACAACTTTAACAGAATTTAATCTTTGAGAGAAAAAGGATTAGCCATTCAGAATCACACGATTGAAGAAAAGAAAGTTCCAAAGGCTACCAATAATTTCATTTTTATTAAAAAAAATTCCTTTTTAAGTTAAAAAAATTATATCAGATCAACGAAAATGCAATATGTTAGTTTACAAACGTAAGGAATGTTTTAGTGCAGTATTACTTCGCACTTGGGAAGAATGCAGGCAAGAACGAAAGCGAAATTCGGGTCTTTTGAAGGAAAAATAGAGAAACTCGGCGGATCTCGATGGATCATTCCTATTACGGGGATTTTGGGCGAGGTACGAAGCGAAACGAACGACCGGATCGAAAATCCACTGATGTTCGTGCTGGAAGATTCGGTAGTACGTGGCCGTCGGCGGAATAGGAAGTCGAACTTTATAGGTTCGTAGGAGCTCCCTTGACGTTTTCAACAAGATATATTACATCTTCCGATGCAACTGACGGCCGAAAGTTTCCTGCCAGTTCTATTTCTCGATGCAAATTGATAGCATTTATATGCGTTTCGGGTGAATTTTAATTGAAAAGCTGCCCGCGATACTTAAATTCAAGCTCGAAGCGGCGGGGTAGTAATCCAATTCGCATAATGCATAAATCACAACGTATTATCCTACCGTGTTGTATCGAATGCGAGATGTCGTACATTCGAGAGCGCTGGTAAAAATTAAATTTAAAAGCGATTCCGCGCGATTCAAAGGTACGCGCGATTCTTCACAATTACAAAGTTATTAATGCTCATCGTTAACGAGCTCGGGAGTTGAGTTTCCAATTAGGTACTTTGCAAAACTTGCCGTTCTCGACAATTCGCGATGAAAGTGGACGCTCTCGGAGACGCGGGAAACAGTTATTTGTTCCCCCCCATCCCCGATTTTTCGATTCGTTGCTATCATATTTATCGCGCGCATAAGCCCGGCCGAAAGGCCGCTGCAGTCGCGAGAAAGTGCCGTTATCGAGCCGCGCACGACCGGACGGCGATGCAGCCGCATCTGCATCCGGACGTTATCCGGGGCGGTCGGCGACTCGCAGTTTCCCACGTGGGGAGGGGGGAAGAGAGATAGAACGTGGGTGAAACAAGGAGAAAAGTAAGTTTAATGGGTCAGGATGCGAGAGGAGCGCAGCTGCGATCCCTGGCTATCGAGAGCCGAAGAATGGGCTGGAAGAAGAATATCTGTGGAATTAATATTCACACCGAGCGTGGACTTTTTTCTCTCTCTCTCTCTCTCTCTCTCTCTCTCTCTCTCTCTCTCTTTATTTTCCTCTTTCTGTCTCTCAATCTCGTCGACTTCCGCGAACTTATAACGACCGAGGTGTGCTTTCTTGAACTCTACCCTCGTTATCGCACGGGATAAATACGCGATTTACATCGGCGATGTCGCGCGGACGTGCATTGCTCATCTGAATTGCAACTAGATCCCGGATTGTCTCATTTTCCGACGCAGAGAAGATACTCGCGCGCGCGCGCGTTCGGTGAAATATCCATTACGTTCTTGATCCATAAAATTGGATGGTTAATGCTAAGAATCACGTATACGTGGAGAGTTTTTCCTCAAAATTCGCCCTCTGAAAAGCATGTAATCATGGCACTTTGAAGAAATTAAGAGTTTTTGAAATTTCACTAAACATTTTACTAGTAAAATTTCAAAAAAACTCGCATAAAACTCTTGGAAATGTCACGATTACATGATTTCCAGGATAAATTTTAAGAGAAAATTCTCTCGGCGTTCCATTAATATTTTTTAATTTTCTGTAGACACGATTCTATAAAAATACCAATAGTAGGCCGCGATATGTTGATAAAAATATGTACATTACACATAATTCATTTGCCTCCGGGGGAAGATCGGGACGGTACTCTGTCTCAAATTTCTAGCCTGCCTTATCTCGTTCTCTCTTGCCGTCCCATTCCCCCTCGATGCTTGAGACTTGCAGACTCCTGTCTTTTTATGCAGTGTTCGCAATAAACGACGGTATTTTCAATTATTAAAGAATGCGATAAAGAATGCTGTGTAACGCTTGCATTAACGACAGCGCGGTGATGCCGGATAATCGAAAAATCATTAATCCCGCAATTCATCATGCACGCGACGTCTCGGGAGAATGTTTGCAAGATCGGTTCTCGTTACATTCTATATTTCATCGGCTTTGCATTTCGATCGCTCGATAACCGATACGTATATTTACTAAATTATCAGCGGGCCAACAGCGCGATGCGCGATACATTTCGCGCACCGCGCGTATATCAATTAACAATTATCCTATTAAATAATTCCAACCCTCGGCCGTTAAAGCTAATATCGCCCGTTGCTATTAGCGTTACTCGTCGCTCTATAAACGTCCACGCATACCGCTAACAAGCGAGCCCTTCCGCAAAACGCCCCGCACTTTATCGGCACGCCCCGCCCTCGTTAAGGTGGCGTGCGCTAAGCGCGATAAAAAAAAGCCGCGAGACCTAATTTCCCCGCGACAAGTCGCGCTAAACAGTCGCCCTCGCTCCTTGAGCGGCCGTTATTTCTCGGACGATTACGTTATCACGTCGCGACGCCGCGCCGGCCGCTCGCGTATCAATGTCGACAATCACGGACGATTAATTGCGCGAGGCTATCGCGAGGTAGTTGCCTAAATTAGCTTACAGATTAACCCTTTCGCACTTACCGTCCGCGATGATGGACATCCCTTTTCCTCATTCGCAGTGAGCTAGTGTGTAAAATCATGCCAAGTAATTGAGATATCGTCAGGATACATTTTTAAATAGCGAAACACTGGCAAATTTTATAAACTCGCGGCTGCTCTTCGGCAAACGTTAAAAGTATGTGGACTACAAAGGCTGGAGAATAATTTTTTTTAAATTTATTAAACACGTGCCAGTTAAAGGTCGGCCAAAATTTATTTAAGATTAAAGATTGTTGCGCATATACAAAATAATGAACGCGTTAATTTGAGGACACTTATTTTTTCTGTGAAGAGTCGTCGGAAAAAGTCCTTTAAAAAATGACAGTTAGAAATTTCAAATGAATTTGAGGTAGAAATTGAAATTTTCTTCTTAAATAAAGACCGGAGGGCTCGGCAGCCGTAAATTCACGCTTGTTGCGGTGCGTCCCAAACCAGGCACCAATCATGGTCGCCGTCGCCGGCGTCATTAATTGAGGTAATACTAATTACCAACAGCTTCGTCCATTCCGGCGCGATGATACCGTGATACGCAAGCGGTGATAATTAATGAGCTAGAAACTTTGGTTGTTCCATCAGCCGCAACAATACGCACCGATGCGGAGCAAGAAGACGGCGTCACTCATTAGGCAAACTGTTTCGCAACAGGCACGGCTGATGAATCATTAGTCGAATCATTAGTCGACTTAACAAGTACGTGACAGATTTTCGGCAAGCTGGCGAGCCGCGCGAATGTCGCGCGTCGCGCTGATGAGCCAATATATGCGGAAGTAACAATGTTCTAATCAATTATGAGAGCACGGAGAAATACGCTGTACATTCAAATTGGCGGAATACTCGCGGACATGATATATATGTTAATGATTATATCATCTGAAGCCTAAATTCATTTGCACGATCGATAACCGCGACGCAAACTTGGAACTTTAAATAAAATCCGTTCAATTATCTCGTGGACCAGTTGCATAAATAATAGTATAAAACATATTTCTGATTTTCATTTATACCGTTCTTACATTTAATTAAAAAAAAATATATGGAAGCCTAAATTAATTTGCACGATCGATAACCGCGACGCAAACTCGAAACTTGAAGTAAAATCCGTTCAATTGTCTCGTGGACCAGTTGCATTAATATAATCAAACTGATTATTGATTTTATTTATACCTTTCTTATATTTAAATACTTAGAGACGCCCGTCTAGACAGAGGGAAGTTCGAACCCTGGCTGAGGTAAATTTTTTGCAATAAATTAAAAAATTAAAATCATTTAGACACTAACATCCTGTCTCGGCTCTTACATCTTTTATTCCTTCGAATTGTGATTTCTTATATTTTATTTAAAAAAATATATGGACGTGAATTTTCAGCCTCACTAATTGTGAGTGAAAATTAAGTCAAGTATTAACAACGCTTTTCAATTCGATATATTTTGTTTTCGCGAAAGCCGCTTGGATCGTTAACGTTATTTGATAATTTGGTAACACGCGCTAAAATGTAGATAAGAAAAGACGATATGTACGAGCGAAAACAGGTCGAAGAACACGAAGAGCGTTTTAGGGTAACTTGTTACGAAATTACGATTTCCTTTCAAAGCGATAGGAAGTCGGTAGCAATTTCTACGGCTCTTCACGCGAAACCGCTGGTCGGTTTTCACCAATGGTTTCAACGGAGAAAAGCGGTACGTCATTTTCTCGTAATACCCATCCTTTCGCTCTCTTTTCTCTCTCGCGGCGGGCTTTTGTGCTGACTGTCGTACGATACATGCACTCGTCTGTACGTGGTACAGGGCTCACAT